CGGCAGGTCGAGCACACGGAGCTTCGGGTTCGTCGGCGTCGCTGTGCGGCAGCCTCCCCCGCCAGGCTCCGCCCCCCGTCCCCCTTGCCAAACCGGCCCGAGACTCCGCCCTCTCGGCCGGCCCGCCGACCCTCGCCACCTCCAGCCCCCGCCCACCGCGGCAGCCGGACCGGGACTGGGGCTCGGTCCGGAGGGGTAGCTTCGTGGAGCGCTGCCAGGAGCTCGCCAAGGGGTCGGAGGCGGCGAGTTCAGGGTTCTGCGTCCCGCCGGGACCGGACGGCGTGAGGCGGAGCTTAGCGGTGTGCAGCGAGCTGGAGGCCAGGTTTGGGCTGCGGACGCCGGCCACCTTCTCCGTGTCTCCGGGTGCTCGCCATTCGCCCGGACCGCCGTCATCGTCACCGCTGTCCAATCCGTCACAGCGCAGGACCACGCCCACCTCCCCGACAAGCCCCGCCCCCGCAGCGGTCAGTCCGACCCGCTCTCAGATGCCCGCCTCGCCTCGTCGCAGCGCCGCGGCGCCACCTGCCGACGTCCCGCCTTCACCGGAGAGTCCGACGAGCCCCGACGGCAGCGCCGCCGCCACCGCTGCACCGCCCACCAGCCCCAAACCTCACATGAACGAAACCAGCTTCTGATGAACAGCCAATCAGCACGCAGCTACAGGCCTGTTGCCATGGTTACCTGGTTGTTTCCAGGCAACGCAAAGACAAATAAGGAAGTGATGTCAGGAGCAAAAATAAAACCGAAGAAGAAACAAGTTCAGCTAAACCTGCTACGATCAATAAGTTTACATCATCGCTGATCAGGTGACTCCCAGCAGGTTGATTGATGACCAGCAGGTCTATTGATCACCAGGAAGTCTATTGATGACCAGCAGGTTGATTGATTCCAGTTTGTGGATCCAGAAATAAATCAGCTGCTGTTTGTTTGTTTGTTTTGCTCCTCTGCTGTAAACACGACGTTTGTTTGTTTGTTTTTTAACTAAAAGTTTGTACAGAAACTTTATTTTTTTAATTTGTACGTTTGAAAAATTTTACAGTTTTGGTCAAAACACACCTGAGCGTCTCTCAGCCAATCAGGTTCCTGCTGACGTCCCGTCTGATCAAATGAAACAACGAGGAAAACAAACGGATCAATAATCTCCTGGAAGGTTCCTGGAAAGAACATTTAAACCTGGAAAGCATTCACGTCTAATTTATCTCAATAATTACAAACCTTATTTCTGACATTTTTCTTAAAGTTCAGGAACGAATCAGAAAACTTGAATCTCAAACAGGTTCCACTAAAAACAACCTGAAGCTAAACGCTGCTGATGAATCTGTTCAACGAGTTTATTCGTCGTTTTGACTCTGAAGTTTAAAAAGTAGTTTAAAAATATTGATCCTAGTTTGGCTTCGCCCAAGAAGACGACTTTAAACGTCCTGTTTTCAGATTAAACTGAAGCGATTCGGCTCATAAAGATAAAAAACAAATAAACCAAGAAGCTAAAATCTGAACTCTGGTTTGATCAGAATCGATGCTTCGTCCAGACGGGTTCTGAATACGAGTTTGAGATACTCGAGTCGAGTATTTCTGTCGTTTGACTCGTGAATCGTCTCCTCTGCTACTTCCTCTGTGTTAGTTTCAGTTATTTTGCAGATTGAGGTAAATATACAAACAAACAGGTGTTTAGTGGATTTAAAACAACAGCTGATCAGATTAAAGTCACATTTAATTCACTGTATTGTGTGAATGTTTACCCGACTTATTTAAACTTAATATCGTGTAAAAACCCAAAGAGTCCCTTTGATCAAACTCTGTGACTGGAGTTTTAATTCTGACGTATTCAAACAGATTTGAATAAACTTTATCGATGTTTGGGAGGAAGTTCAGGATTGATCAGCAGCACATTAAGACGAGTTTCTTTATATTATTCATCATTCAGTCTTTAATCACTCAGATTTGTGTGAAACTTTTATTTTATTGCTGAAAACATTTTTTAAAAAATGTTGATTTCACAGATTTTTACTGAATCCAACGACTGAAAACACGAGTTTCTGCTGATCGTCAGAGTCCAGCTCGAGTTTCTGAGACTCGTTACATCAGCAGTGATTAGTGGTTAATTAAAGTTTGGCTTCAATCAATTTTTTTTTTTAAAAAGCAGAGTTAATCTGCAGCGGTTTGAATTTGCTGCCAAGTTTCTCGTTTTCTCACTTTGCTGCAGAAACGTTTTCCTGTTTTTCTTCGTTTCCAGAAACCGGAGTCCAGATCACAGCGTCACTAATTACATTTCAGTGATTTAATTAATTATTCAGACTCGTTGCTGCCTTTTAGGAAGAACTTGATGCTTTAACTTTTGTACTTTTTCAGTCAAAGTGTTCAAAGTTGTTTCCGGGAACCTTCGGAGGAGATTATTGAGAACATCGACGTCTTCGTCTTCAGCCGTGAGTCGACTTTTCCAACTCGACACTTTGGGTTTTTATCTGCTGGGCGTCTGGTTCTCCAACGTTTTTCACCCACTTTGTTTATTGTTTGTTTGTTTGTTGTCTGGTTTGTGTTGTAAATGTGCAGAACTACTTTTTTAGTTTCATAAACCTTCATTAAAAAGCAACAAATTAATGCATCAGTCGGTGATTTGTGAGACTTTAGGGCTGCAACGAACATCATCTGTTAATCATTTGTTCTGTAAATGATCCAGAAAACACTGAAAACGCCTCAAAAAGTTTCCTAAAAAAGAAAAGTTTTAGCTTAATTAGTAAGTTCATTAGTTTGTCTTAAATAGGATGTGAATGTAGGAATGTCTAAAACCAAAATAGATTCAGTTTATAAAGAAATAAAAACAGAAAATCTGAAAATATTGATGTTTGAAAGCTGAAAAATGTCCCTTTGGTCCCTAAAAATGAATTTTAATCGATCGATGCAGCTCAGCTTCACTTCAACAAACTGAAGAATATTTTAATGTTTTAGAACAAAAACTTCTTTTCATTTTGCAGGTTTTTTTTGTTATTTTGGAGCCCCAAAGAGTTTAATATTTAATAAATAATAATAATGTGAATTAATTTAGTTCGAGAAATTTAATATTTATTCATTTTCAAACCAAATTCTTAATTTATGTGAGTTTATTATTTCTTATTTCAAAGTAGTTTTTTTTCAAAGTCTGAATTTATTTGATTTTAATGTTTTGTCACTTTTTATTGATCAATCTGCTCTAAAACTGCTTTAATGTTTGATTCAGACGCTCAGAAATTACAGGAAGATCATCAATCAGTTAATTTATTGATGGAAAATTAATAATCTGTTTTATTTCGTAGTAAACTGAACTATTTTGTGACATTTAACAGACAAACTAATTGATCAATAACCCAAAACGATGCTGAGATCGATCACTGATTGAACAAATTGTTGGTTGCAGCTCTAAAATTTAACGTTTTCTTCAAATATTTTGAGGATTTTAATTATTTTCTGACATTTTATAAACAGTTTGATCACTAATGTTGTTGTTTTTCTACATTTTTGTACAGAATTAATTCTTATAATATGAATATTTTTTCCTTCCTGTTTGGACGCTCGTGTTTCCTGCGGCCCCTGAACGCAGCAGCAGGTTTTTTATGTTTCTAATATATTTTCTTTATCGGAAACTGTTTGTGTAAAAAAACAAAAAAGTTTCTTATTAAACAAAAACTAAACAACAACAGTTTGTGTTTTATTCCAAAAGCCTTCATTGAACTGGAGCAGCTAAAGTCTGATCAGCAGCTTCTTCTTCTTCTAATCAGCAGCCGACAACAAAAACAAAAACAGATTTAAAGTCTGAATCCTTTCGGCGGCGTCCGTGATGCTGTTGCTACGGCAACCAGCTCGTCTCCTCAGGTGAGTTCACACGAAAATAACTTTTTACAAAAATAAGATTCAAGTTTAAACGAGAGAACGAGTCCCAATGATGATGATGATGATGATGATGATGATGATGTAATCAGTCAATCAACCACACTAAGCCCCGCCCCCTGAGCAGAGCTCGTCCAATCACAGTCTGGAGTTTTAGATTCTTTATCTCACTGAGATTTTTTCTGCTTCATTAAAATCAACCAGCAGCAGAGGAGGAGGGAGGAGAAGCTCAGAGATCTGATCGAGTCAATCGATCATGTATTGATTGATCAGCTTCAGCTGTCTCAATAATGAAGAAGAAAACCTTCAGAGGATTGTTCTGGGCAGAACTGCAGGTTTTAACGACTTTAAAACCAAGTTTTACATAAACGTTAATCAATTACTGCTGAAAAATGTATAAAAGTTAAAACTTTAATTCTAAAATACAGGAAGACCGGCCGCGTCCCAAACCTCATAAGTTGGTTTAATTTGAAAACTGAACTGAATTCTAACATTATTACAACGTTTAACAGCCGTTTAATCACATCTGCTGTTTAAACATTTAACTGTCAGAAGTCATTCAGAAGATTTGATTTAGAGCCTCAGAAACCTGCCGAGGCCAAAGACAGCTTCACAAAACACAACTTTTATAAAGTTTTTTTTAAACAAAATTCTGTTGAAAAAGTAGAAAAATATAAATAAACACAACTCGAGACCTTTAAAAGGCGAAATATCTCAGAAACATCCCGTCATGTTTTCAGCAGTTTGGAAGTTTAAAAGTTTAAATTCTGACAAAAAACGTTCCTAAAGTCCCTTTATTCAGTTAAAACGTGACTCATTACTGATGTGGACGAAGCCTGAAGTTAAATCATCTGTTCTTCTTCCAGGTAAACGTTCAGGTTCTGAACATGCAGCTGCAGGTTTTAGTTTAATTTCAGTGACTCATAAATAATAACAACAATAACAATAATAATAATAATAACGAGCTTCACTGATAGAAACCTGCAGGACGGTTTCTGTGTTTTAAGAACTTCACTTTCTGCCACTCTGACTGTTTTTCTTCTTCATCATTACGTCAGTGAGCGACTTTGTTTCCGGTCCAGTTTTGGCGCCGGGTCATCGTCAGCGGCGGCCTCCTCCGTTGCCATGGTGACGCCCGCTCAGGCCTTGGCGTCGAGCATCTCCAGCAGCAGCTTGTGCAGCGGCACGCGGCGGCTCCGGTGCAGCCGCAGGAGGTTCTGCACGGCCCGGTCGGCCGTCTGCCGCAGCAGCGGGAGGCTCATGAGCAGCCGGCCGGCCCGGTTCTGCTCCCGCCGGGTCGCCTCCAGGTCCTGCAGCGCCTCGTGGAGCCCGTCCTGGAACCGCTGCAGCGAGTCGGGACAGTCCACCGGGTCGACGTCTGGAGGGCGGACAGATGGATGGGTTAGTGAGAAAAGTTCTGGTGGAGCTGCAGAAAACAATCAGCTTGTAAAGAAAACCAACAAAAAGTCCGATCCTGGTTCTGAAATCTGACAAGTTGATGCTTTAAACTGAAAATGCTAAAAAAAATGTAAACAATTAAAAAATTCAAAGACCAAATGATGAATGAAGACAAGAAGATCGTTTATCTCAGTTTGGTCGTTATGTAGAATAATAATAATAATAATAATATTCATAATAATTTGAATATATCTAATATTTTAAGGCCCTTTTTGACATTTAAAGACCTTTTTAAATGAACTCCTGGTGGTTTAACTTTTTAATTTAGATTTCAGTGGGATCTCAGTTCTAGACTTCTGGCTGCTTCTTGTCCACAGATTTCATGTTTGATGATTTGTTTCATATCTGACTGGATCAGAATCAGAACCGACTGTAAACATGTCGGTCTGAGGCTAAATAAAGGTCAAGGTCACCGAGGCTTCGTCTTCTATTGTGTCCAGTATTGATGCTGAGCCGCAGACAGTTAACAGTTTATTGATCCACAGCATCGATCAATACGCTGCATTGATCTGAGGCTCAGACAGTGAGACTCTGACCAGACCTCAGCGTCCCATCATGCTCTGCTTCCACACCATCGGCCGCTATTGATCCGCCATTAGCGCTACTGTTAGCATCGTTAGCACTCCCCACTACACTGATGGTGAACTAACCACGAGTTAACTCGAGTCTCTTTGTGGTCGTCTCAAATCTATATCGCTTTATACCAGAAAGACACGAAACAACCACAAGGAGACAAGACTTCAAACTATTGCAAATTAACTCGATGTTTACAAAGAGACTTGTCCCTGTTGAGTCTTTTAAAGTTTACCTCAAGTCTTGTGGTCATGTCGAGGTTGTCTCAAGTCTCTGTGGTCGTCTCAAGTCTCTGTGAAGTGGTCTGTGGCTCTCTGTTGTTGTTTCAAGTCTGTAGTTAAGACGACCAGAAAGACGACCAGAGATTCAAGATGGCCGCAAAGAGACTTGGGAAAGCCAGAGTGAGACACGAGACAACTGCAAGAAGATGCAAAAGGACTTGAAATCATTTCCAGATGGCATCAAGGAGACTCAACTGACCACAAACGGAGTCAAGACAACCACGAATAGTTCCAAAGAGTCTCAGTCTCGAATCTCTTTGTGTTTGCCTCAAGTCTTCTTGTGTCTCCTCGTGTCATCTTGTGGTTGCCTTGAGTCACTTGTAGGTCCTCATTTAGTCACCTTGAGGTCACCTTGAGGTTGTCTCGAGTCTCCTTTTCTCTGTTTGGGGTGATTGTGTCACTTTGTGTGTTCTTGAGTCCCTTTCTAGTCATAAAGTCTCTCTCGAGTCCATCTCTCTGTTGTTGACAGGTCTCTGTTTGGTTTCGACGAGAGACTTGCAATGACCAGAAAAGGATTCAAGACGACCGCAAAGAGACTCAAAAAGACTTGAAACCATGACCAGTGAAATCAAGATGGTCTCGAGAAGACTCGGGATGACCACAGAAAATGTACAAAGAGACTTGTCTCTATTGGGAGTCTCTCTGTGGTCCTCTCGAGTCTCTTTGAGGTTTGTCTCAAGTCTACTTGTCTCTTTTGTGGTCATAGTCTCTATGGGGTTGTCTGGACCGAGTGTCAACTGTGGTTTCCTACAGACAGTGAACTAGCCCCGAGTTAACTCAGGTCTCGTACCAGAGTTGGCGAGTGCCATGGCCTTCAGCGTCACCACTTCTTCAGGGCTCAGCTTCATCGCCTCGTATCTAGCCGTCAGGTGACGCAGCGCCTCGTACACGTCGGCCAATCCAGCGGCTCGACACTGGGACTCGTCCAGCCGCAGGTTCCCGGCGAACACGAGCTCCTCCCCCGGCGCCCCCTGAGAGCGCCAGGCCACGCCCACTAGCAGCGCCTCCATCCAGCCGCTCTGCAGCAGCGACATCTGGTCGACCAACGAGAGACCAGAGAAACCTGACGGAGGCGGAAAGAGTTTTAATTAAACAAAGGTAAACATTGTTACGAGTCATCTCACGTGTCTTTGTGTCTCTTTGTGGTCATCTTGAGTCTCTTTGTCATTGTCTTAAGTCACTTTGTGATCACCATCGTTGTGATCATTTCAAGGCTCTTTGGAGTCGTCTTGAGTCAATATTTCTCTGTTGTGTCGAGTCAGTTCTTTGTGGTTACTTAAGACACTTTGACGACCAAAAAGAGACCTGAGAAGACCAGAAAGGTGTTAAAGACACCTGCAAAAAGACTCCAGACACCTGCAATGAGACACAAAAAGACAAACTCAAGAAAAACTTAAGGGGCTAGAGATGACCACAAATAGAGTTTGGATGTTGCCACAAAGAGTTACAAAAAGACTTGTGTCTGACTGGAGTCTTTGAATTCACCCCAAGTTTCTTTGTATTTCTGCGAGTTGTCTTGTGGTTGCCACGTGTCTTTGTGATTCTTTCCAGTCTCTTTGTGTTTGTTCTGAGTCTCCTCGTCTCATTTTGAGTGTTTTTGGGGTCGTCTCGAGTCTATGTCTGTTGTTGTGTCAACTCTCTTTGTGGTTACTTAAGAAAGTCAAGACAACCATGAAGAGACACAGAGAGACTCGACAACAAGACTCAAAACAACCACAAGCCACAAACAGACTTGTCTCGAGAATCTTTGTGGTTGTCTGAAGTCTTTTTGAGTCTCTCCGTAGTCCTCTCAAGTCTCCTGTCCTGAAGTTCTTACGAGTCGGTCCGTCCAACAGTCAGGTTTGCTCAGTACCTGGGATCTGTTTGGCCCAGCCAATCAGAACCAGCAGCTCCCGGTTCAGGAGGTCGCAGAGGGTCAGCAGGGTCCTCAGGCTGCCGTCATTGGTCGAGTCGTCCTGATTGGCAGCCAGGGGGGCGGGCTCTGTGAGCAGCAGGTGGGAGATCACCTTGTTTCCTGAAAGACAACGACATCGACTGTCAGTGTAGTTTTTAACCTTTCGTAGAAAGTTTGGCCAGAGGACCGGCTGGACTCACGGCTGCTGACTGGGTGGCTGTACGGGGTCTTGGAGTATAAACTCAGTCCTGTCTCCACTCGTCTCTTGTACTTCTGCCGACCTCCTCTGACTCGGTCCATACGAACACCTGTAACACACCGGACTCGTTAACGTTAACCCGAGGCCCTGCTGCAAAGGCTCATGGGAGTTTTTCTGACGCACCGACGTACCTTCCCTCATCATCCCGGCCTGCAGACACTTCTGGAAGCGACAGGCCTGACAGGCTTTCCTCCGCCGCTTGGTGATCTCGCACTCGTTCATCACCGGGCAGCTGTACTCGATGTTACCTAGGTAACCAGGAAACAGGAAGTACGTCATCACTCAGGTTTATTTACATCAGGGACATTTTCAGCAGCAGTCTTAGTGTTTGAAAACAATGTGCAGTTAAAACTGAAGCTTTTAAAAGTGGCCATTTATTTGTGAATGCAACCAACAAGACACTCGACCAACCCAAAGAGACTCAAGACGACCACATCGTAGACCTCAAAGAGTTTCAAGACAACCCAAAAAAGACTGAAGACAACCAAAAAGGGACTCGAGACAACCCCAAAGAGACTGGAAACAACTACAAAGAGTTTTGAGACAAACCCCAAAGAGGGTCGAAGCCACCACAGAGAGACTTGAAAAGATCACCGTTAGGTCTCTTTTGGGTGGTTTCGTGTCTCTTTGTGGTCTTTTCATGTCTCTAAGGGGCAATTTCGAGCCTCTTTGTGACTCAGCAGCTGTCTCGAGTCTCATTTCGGTCACTAAACAGGTTGTGTTTGATCCTCGGCTTTATTTTGGTGAAATAAGTCATGAAGTGTCAGATTCATTAAAGACTTTATTCCTTTCTTTCCTCCTGCTGCTGTCTGACCGAGTTCTTCTGTTCATGTCATCATCCTGTTCAGTCACACAGAAATCCATACGAGTCCGTCCTGCCTCCCTACAAGTGTTTATTGGGGCTTAAACTCGTCGGTCCAGTTAACTGGATATTGACGAGCAGCGACGAGGCTCAATGGAAACTGTGGACGCTGCTTTCCGTGGTCGTGTTTTATTGTGAAGACTCGTTTAGAGAAACTCGTCCAGCTGAAGATTATAAAAAAATCATCTGCAGCTCATAGGAGACTCGGATCAATACGTCACCAATCAATCGGCCAATTAGCCGTCTGAAGTGAGACGTTAGCAGCTGATGCGAGCGCCGACGGCTTCTCACGCTAATCAATGCAGAGAGCGCTGATTATTGATCGGCTCCAATGATTTATTCTCCCATTAATCACAGCGGAAGATTAAACATGATCCGTTCTTAATCTTTGAACCGTTTCTGACTGAAGCGAGTCACATGTAGTTCTAGTTTCCAGCCTCTCTGGTCCGGTTCTGTTCTACTTTCACCTGTTGTCCTTTTCAAAATGGAACTGAAACTGGTTTTAAAGTGGAGCGTTCCTCTGGTGCTGTCAATAAAGTTTGAGTTGAAGAATCTCCTGAGACGCACCACAAACATGTTGCTGTTGTTGTTTTCTGTCTTTACTGTTGTTTTGTCAGTTTTTAT